TCCTGTATCAGACATTAGTAAGTCCCGAGTACGTCCGAACCTTCCCCAGGACGTACCAGGGACATCCGATGTTACCAAATCGTCGGTCCCCAGAACGTCCTAAGTAAGACTGGTCGTTCTGAAATGCTTTATTGGGGACTATTGGACAAGCTTTACAGAATTGAAGAGTGATATTCCCAAAGGGTTTGTGAGAAAAATAAAATTGTGAGTTATCATTGGACAAGCTTTACAGAATTAAAGAGTGATATTCCCAAAGGGTTTAAGTGACAAAAATATAATTGAGAGTTATCAATGAAAAAGAAATATTTTGCACATACCTATAAATGTTGGAATATTTTTTAAGTCATTCTGCATGACACAAACTATTTTTAAATAATAATATATTTTGCTTCAATTACTAAAAAACAAAATTACGTCCTTGGGAAGTACCGAGTATATCCGCTTTAATTTTCCCAAATAAGTAAGGGACTGGACGTACCCAAAACTTCCGATATAGGTCTGGGACGTTCGGACCTATGTGGGACCCGAAATGGACGTCCTGGGTAACTCTTGTGCTATCTGGGTATGCATTGCGTCACTTGATCATCGCCTTAAAAGAAAACTTATAACTTTGCCCTCCATGTACGAACAACAAACAAATCCAGTGTTAAAGTAAATTGAACCATTGGCCATTTTGTTTTAGTTTTTTAGTATGTAAAACTCGAGGGGCAAACCACTGATTTTTTTAATTAAAAATCCTTAAATGATGTTAAAATAAGCGTAACTTTATTCTGCTTAACGCAGTGTAACTGTTGATAGATTTTTTTATTATGTATAGCATAAGATTCTTATCCCATAACATGAAATCATTCGAATAAGAATAAAATCGTTAAAATTAGCTGCTAAGGAAAAAAATCACGAGGGTAGCGATACGCAACGCGCTGCTAAGAGATATAAGGATACATAACGATTGATAAGCTTCCAATAAGGAAAAATAGCATTCGATCGCTTACCACAGCGTGTGGATTTCTTAGAGTCCTTACTCTTCGTGACGAGTCGGCTTAACTCGGAACACGTCGGGCCAGTGCATCGATACCCGTAGCGGTGTCAGATAACAGGTCACAGGTGACAGATGACAGATGGCAGGTGACAGATGACAGGTGACAGATAAAAGGTAGCAGATGAAAGGTGACATATAACAGGTGACAGATGACAGATAAAAGGTGTCAGATAACAGGTGACAGATGACAGATGGCAGGTGACAGATGACAGTTGACAGATGAAAGGTGACAGATAACTGGTGAAAGATGACAGGTGACAGATGACAGGTGTCAGATAATAGGTGACAGATGACAGTTGACAGATGACAGTTGAGAGATAAAAGTTTGTGACAGATGAAAGGTGACAGGTGACAGGTCTCAGATAAAAGGTTACAGGTGACAGATGGGAGGTGACAGATGACAGATAAAAGGTGTCAGATAACAGGTGACAGATGGCAGGTGACAGATGACAGTTGACAGATGAAAGGTGACAGATAACTGGTGAAAGATGACAGGTGACAGATGACAGGTGTCAGATAATAGGTGACAGATGACAGTTGACAGATGACAGTTGAGAGATAAAAGTTAGTGACAGATGAAAGGTGACAGGTCTCAGATAATAGGTGACAGATGGGAGGTAACAGATGACAAGTAACAGATAAAATGTAGCAGATGAAAGGTCAGATAACAGGTGTCAGATAACAGGTGACAAATGGCAGGACAGATGACAGTTAACAGATAAAAGGTAGCAGAGGAAAGGTGACAGATGACAGGTGGCAGGTGACAGGTGTCAGATAACAGGTGACAGATGGCAGGTGATAGATGACAGATGGCAGGTGACAGATGGAAGTTGACAGATGACAGATAGCAGGTAATAGATGACAGATGACAGGTAACAGATAAAAGGTCGAGGGGTAAACCACTGATTTTTAAAATTAAAAATCGCTTACGAATTTAGCCTAAGGATAACAATAACAAGGGTAGTCATGCGCAACGGGTCGCTAAGAGAAATTTCTTATTGATAAGCACTGATTAAGCAAGGTTTCCTTATTGATAACGACTGATAAGGTAAAAAATCAGAACACAACGTCCACTAACATTGAACGTTGTTCTCTAAGATTTTAAAGTGGTTTACCCCTTGCTCCGACGTTAGGAATAACCGAGGGGTAAACCACTTATTTTTTTTAAATTAAAAATCGCTTACGAATTAACGGCTAAGGATAACAATAACAAGGGTAGTCATGTACAACGCGTCGCTAAGCACTGATTAATCACCGATTAAGCAAGTTTTCCTTATTGATAACGACTGATAAGGAAAAAAATCTCAACACAACGTCCACTAACATTGAACGTTGTTCTCTAAGATTTTAAAGTGGTTTACCCCTCGGGAATAACAATCGCATATTGCGTGGATGTTATTCTAACAGGCTCATAAGACAGATTCCTTATTTTAGTAACTTTAGCGTCACCGATATGTAAAAATCAGAGCACAACGCGTTGCAACGTCTATATAACGCTGAACGTTGTCTCGATGGTTTTATAGTGGTTTACCCCTCGGTAAAACTATACGGTATTTTATTTTTAAGAGAACATTTTTTTAATAATATCAAATTAATTTAACTATAAAAAAATTCGAAGCTGCTGTGTGGCCCGGTATAGGGCCGGCTTAAGGCAATTGAGCGCCTTAGGCACTTACAAATTTGACGCTTATAACTAAATACTATACTTACGTGGCCCGGGGCAAATTTTAGAATAACTTATCAGAGCTACTCCAATCTGTTATCACCCCCTTAGTGCAACAACTGGATAACTTGAAATTCATAGTTTTGAGAAAATCCACTTTAAAGATTTAAAACACAAAAAAATACAGCTGTTAAGTAATTAAAAATATTTAATATCCAAACAGATTTGTTGCATATCAAATTATGACAAAAAAATACAGCTGTTAAGTAATTAAAAATATTTAATATCCAAACAGATTTGTTGCATATCAAATTATGATTTCTAGTTGTTGCATTAAAAAGAGTAGGTTCAATTAAAGTGCATACCTAAATTTGGAGTTATCTAGTTGTTGCACTAAGGGGGCGATATAATGTTCATAAAAAGTGTAAATGTTAAGACTTTAACTTTAATTCCCTGTATTTTTATGTAAGAAAATCCACTTTAAAGATTTAAAACACAAAAAAATACAGCTGTTAAGTAATTAAAAATATTTAATATCCAAACAGATTTGTTGCATATCAAATTATGACAAAAAAATACAGCTGTTAAGTAATTAAAAATATTTAATATCCAAACAGATTTGTTGCATATCAAATTATGATTTCTAGTTGTTGCATTAAAAAGAGTAGGTTCAATTAAAGTGCATACCTAAATTTGGAGTTATCTAGTTGTTGCACTAAGGGGGCGATATAATGTTCATAAAAAGTGTAAATGTTAAGACTTTAACTTTAATTCCCTGTATTTTTATGTAAGATGTTCTGCTGGTTTATTACAATTATTTTAATAATAAAATTTCATAAATACCTTAAAACATACAGCAAAATTTAAGCCGGGTCTACAATTGTCGCAGGTCGCAAATCGCATGCGAACATAAGCTTGCGCAAAGTACCCAGCTGACAAAAGAACCTTGCTCCATCGCCACGTCGCGGGGTGCTTTGCGCAAGCTTATGTTCTGCGATCGGACCCCTGCGACAATTGTAGACCCGGCTTTACACAATTTAAATATCATATAAGAAAAAATGCAAAAGTAAATTTTTCTAAAAATTTGCAAATTTTTACGGATACTATACGTACACTGATATCAAGAAAAAAATTTCGACGCTGAATATAATATTATTATTATGATAATAATAATTATTCCTTTTATTTTAATCCAGCAGAAATATTCTACCAGGTCGCAAAAAACATATTCGGTGCTTTATTAACATAAGTTTCGTTTTATTTGACACTTCGATTTATAAAATTATAATTTTGTAATTTAACTTTATAAATCATGCATTGTTATGTAGTTGGCTATTTTCAATGGACTCCTTTTTGCAAAAAAGACCCAACACACTGTAAATTTAACGTTTACGTTTAAAGCTTTTTTAAATTAATTTAATTTAATTTAATTCAATGTTTGATTTTATTTATTTTTTTCTGTAAGTATATTTTTTTAAGTTGTTGATAGCCCCTTTTTTTTAATGTTTATTTCCCAAAAAAATTAAAAAACCCAGTCCCAGTCCAATGACCCAGTTAATAAAGGTTGGCGATGGCAGTCGTTAATTGTCATATGGGTCATAGACGTTTAATTCATAGTTGAAAAATTAAATTTTTCCCAAAAAAAAACACAATATTTCCAAGGCCTGGGAAAAAAACCCAGTCCCATGGGACTGCAGTCCAATGACCCAGTTAATAAAGGTTGGCGATGATAGTCGTTAATTGTCCTATGTGTCATAGACGTTTAATTCATAGTTAAATGTCTGTATTTGATACAGAATAAATATACTTTTATATCATCATTGTGTTATCTAGACCCAGTCCAAGCTCTCACAATAACATAACATGGTGTCAGGTTTGTAAGAAGCACAAAGAGTAAAAATATAAAAACAGTTAAGTCAAGTACATAATGTCCACCATTGGAGATGGAAGGAAGTTTATCAGCAAATTGGGAAAAATGCTTTAGAATCTTTATGAGGGTAAGTGGATTTGAAACGAAAGAAGATAATCGTAAAGTGGCATTTTTTTTACACTGTATAGGCAGTAAAGCATTAGCAATATTAAACTCATTTAATATAAACATGGATACATCCAAGTACGATAAAGTTTTGTCAAAGTATGAAGAAAATTGCAAACCAAAAACAAATCTAACAGTTGAACGTCATACATATTTGAAAATGGTGCAAGGACAATAAGAATCTATTGAAGATTTTGTCACAGCTATTAAAAAGTTGAGTCTCATGTAAACTTAATGAATTACGAGAAAGTCTTGTAGCAGACATGTTTATTGTTGGACTAAAATCAACAAATCGAGTAATAAAAGAAAAGTTATTGCTTGAAGATGGATTAACAGTCGATAAAGCAGTTCAAATAGCACAATCCATTGAAATGACCCAAAGTCAAGCACAAATGCTTTCAAAATATGAAACAACAATCTGCGAGATCAGGAAGATTCCAAGTAAAAGTTGGAGTAGTCATTCCAATAAAGCAGCAGGAAAAGGCAGCTATATGTCAGGCAGTAAAGCGCAGGTTGCAGTAGGTAAAAACTTCAAGAAGAAGATCAGGAAGCGATAAATGTAATAAATGTGGACAAATTCATAGATTTAAGTGTCCAGCTCAAAATGCTATTTGTGTAAAAAAGGTCATTATGCCAAATGTTGTTTCCAAAATAAAAATAAAAGTTGGTAAATTTTGAAAATGTTAGTACCAGTGACACAAAAGTTTTTCATAAGATCTGTTAATAAAAATTATTTTAAAGATAATAAAAATTCAAATTTGTTGTTAGATGTCAAAATAAATAATATAGTTAATAAATGTAATATTGATACAGGTGCTGAAGCAAATGTCATGTCTTTTATAAATTTTAATAATTTGCATGTTAGAGATAACATTTTAAAAACCAATGTGAAGTTAACTTCATTTTCAGTTAATGAAATATCTGTACTAGGAAAAACAACACTTGATTGGATAATAAACAATGAAATGTTAAAAATTAAATTTATTATTATATATGTCAGAGATTAACGAGGGCGACTGAGGGTTAGGCTGCCTAGACATTTTATAAGAATGCACGTATAAAGTTATTTAATAAAACACGTAGTCAGATAAATCCGCATAGAACACAAAATTAATATTAATCGTCCCAAACTAATTATTAGCTATGAAAAGAAAACCAAAGATCCGCGACCCGCTATATCAACAATAGTCAATAAAAAATCAATTCAGATATTCGACTTGTCGCAAGTCAAATTAAGATCTAACTGGGCCCGTTTCGTTCGCTAAGCTTATCGCCAAGCGGTTCCCTTAAAAAAACATTTTACCCCTCCTAACATATTTTCAACGTTTTAAAGAACTATAACTAATTTGTCTAGACAAATTCACATAAATTATATCAACTAAAATAAATGTATCGTATTAGTGTTAGACTTAATCATAAACACCTAATACGAGGAAAATGACATTCTCCACATGCCTGGGACTTTTTGTTTAGCCTAAACATCGTCAAACAAATCTTATCAACAAAAATAAACAAAATTCTAAGAAAGATTCATGAGCGTAGACCACTAATTAATAAGGGCGCCGACATATATTATATAAAAATATTGTCAAACCATAATAGGTTTACCGACATGTAAGTTGGACTTGGTTAAAAGAGTGTACAGTCAATTTTAAATCGATTTTAAATGACAATAATAGTAGAAAGGTAAAACTGGTTTCAGAACATCAGTTCCCATGGCTGCTGCATGGTGGCGCTACTTGCTTGGTGCCTACAGGGGGGCCGCCATTTTGGATTCTCTGATATCTCTAGACGGTGCTCTGTGGCCCCCATCAAGGTGCAATCCCCATGGAGCCCCCCTATTAAGGTCTTTTTGGCGCTACTTGCTTGGTGCCTACACGGAGGGCCGCCATTTTGGATTCCCAGATATCTCTAAACGGTGCTCCGTGATCCCCCATCAAGTTGTAACCCCCTATTAAGATCTTTTTAGTTATGATTTTCTAAAAATGATGCACCTAGCGCCCTGCAGCGATAACATATGTATTGTTGGTAAAGTGGAAATCTATTATAAGTATCACAAAGCTACAGAGCCCCCCTATTAAGGTCTATTTGGCGCTACTTGCTTGGTGCCTACACGGGGGGCCGCCATTTTGGATTCCCAGATATCTCTAAACGGTGCTCCGTGATCCCCCATCAAGGTGTAACCCCCATGGGGCTCCACTATTAAGGTTTTTGTGGTTAGGATTTCATAAAAATGATACACCTAGCGCCCTACTGCGGTAACATATGTATTGTTGGTAAAGTAAAAATCTATTATAAGTTGGTATCGCCTGCCGTGTAATTTAATGATATGGTATCGTTTTTTATTAATATAAAAACATTTAATTAAAGCACTCTAGATTGATCTTTATGATGATACATTTTCTGATGACGAAACGTCCAAAGGTCCATTTGAGGATGCTGTCTGACTCAGAATTTCCTCAGGATTCCAAATATGTAAAAATATATAGGGCATTCCATTTAAAAATCAAAAGTTGGTATCATTTTCGGCGAAACCGGAAATTCAAAAAAAATCATTTTGTACTCTTATAAGTGGCATTTTATATCCTAATTAACCATGCAAAATTTCATGTGTCCATCTTTATAAATAAAAAAGTTGCAGGGGTGCGCCTATTCTCAGATACACCGGTATATATACAGGGTGACCCAGTGCTCTGTGATCGGTCCATATTTTTTTTGCTATTAAAGATATCGATATGAAATTTTTATAGAGGATATGATCGAACTAAACCTATTTTCCAAAATTATTTTGAACAAAATTCCACTTCCGGTTTCACCGGAAGTGACATCAACATTGTTATTTCAAATAGAATACCCTGTATATTTTTTGATTTTTAAATTTTATATGTAATTCCTGATAAAATTTCTGTAACATTCCCTATACCTAAACACAATAGTTTTCGAGATATTAATTTTTTTCGTAAAAATTTGACAGTTGCGCCTTCAACAAAAATACCCTATAACTTATTATTATTATTATTATTATTAGGTCTATTTGGCAAACTTTAAACGTTAATAACTTTCTAATTTTTAATGGAACGCTATGTATATTTTTGCAGAATTAAATTTCTTATTAAATTATCTTTTGATTGATATAACCATTCCCTATACCTAAAGTTAATAATAACAAAGATATTTCACAATTTTGTAATAATTTAGGTATCAACACAACTGAGAAATCGACAAGCGAGTTATTTTGACGTATCCATGGATCTAATCTAATTGTTACACTTTTTCTCGTATTTGTTCAGTTAAAATGGATTTTACGCGACAAGAAATGATAAATATGGTTTATTGTATTGGAGAAGCGGATCGAAATGTTCTGCTAGCTAGTAGAATTTATCATCAAAAATATCCAGACTTAAGATTGCCCTGAGTAATTTCATTTCAAAAATTGAGGGATAGATTTGCATTGACGGGTAATATTTCTTACAAGAAACTAGAATTGATTGGACGGAGAATTGATGAAGACCGTGAATTAGAAGTTCTTTTGACGATAGAGGAAAATTCTTTTTTGAGTACTCGGGAGATCGCAAGAGAAACTGGTCTATCGCAAAGCAGTGTGAATTGCATAATTTTAAACCATAAATTTTACTCGTACCATATGGAACTTCATCAGGAACTTTATGATGACGATTTTCGGCATCGAGTAGATTTTTCAAATAGAATGCTTGAAATTGTGCATGCTAATGGCAACTTCTTAAACGGCATTTTATTTTCGGATGAATCTACTTTCAAGAGTAATGGATCTGTTAATAGGCACAATTTGCACTATTATGCGACTCATAACCCCCATTGGCTGAGAACCATGGATCACCAGAATTCTGCTAAAATATACATAGCGTTTCATTAAAAATAAGAAAGTTATTAACGTTTAAAGTTTGCCAAATTCACCCTAATTTTTATCAAGTAATTGGTTAGAAATATGGCAAAGTTTGACACGGGATATTTAAAACAATGTTTTTAAGATTCCAAAAATCCAAACCGCATACCAATAGACCTAATAACAAAGAAGTTATAGGCTATTTTTGTTGAAGGCGCAACTGTCAAATTTTACGAAAAAAATTAATAACTTGAAAACGATTGAGTTTAGGTATAGGGAATGTTATGGAAATTTTATCAGGAATTACATATGAAATTTAAAAATAAAAAAATATACAGAGTATTCTATTTGAAATAACAATGTTGATGTCACTTCCGGAAAACCGGAAATGGAATTTTGTTCAAAATAATTTTGGAAAATAGGTTTAGTTGGATCATATTCTCTATAAAAATTTGATATCGATATCTTTAATAGCAAAAAAATATGGACCGATCACAGAGCACTGGGTCAGTGACCCAGTGGGTCACTCTGTATATATACCGGGTGTATCTGAGAATAGGCGCACCCCTGTAACTTTTTTATTTATAAAGATGGACACATGAAATTTTGCATGGTTAATTCTTCTTTTCTCTAATAAATAAATATACAGACTGTATAGAATCAAGTAAGTAAGGCTGGAGACAAGGATGACAAATTATATTCTGATCAGAGAAAAAGAAACAAACTTTAATTGGGCGTGGTTTAAACCAAGCCATTCGTAATTACGAACCATAGTTACCAGGTTGTTTTAAATCAGAAGAGAATGATTATAATTATTTAATAAATAGGTCAATTTTATTTGTTTGAAACTTAAAAAAAAACAAAAAAATTAATAATAGGTATGTCAAAAATAATTTGATTTAGTTAATTTTCTTACTTTTAATATTAAAAAATAAGAAAAACAACCCTTTTAGGAAACAATAATAGCATATGGCAACAGCGCGGCATGCAGCTAGATACAAGGGCATGCAGTTCAGTGTTGCCATTTTTTCACCATTTCTGGTGATTTTTTGTTCTTGGTTGAGAGTTTTCAAGTTAGATAGCGACCAGTCTCAATCCTGGAGAATTTAAATATGCATCGGAGTTTTTAGCAAATTTTAAGTAATTAAAATACAGAATAAAAAATATTGAAAGTTGGGTTGGGTGCGTTGTACTAGTGATTTTTTAATTAAGAATTTGACCGGTCAGAACTTTGATACACTCATATGATGGATCCATCATCATATTTTAAAAATGTGACTCCTCCATCCATTAAAGTTATCACAGACTCTGTGAAGTTATTACCGGTTACAGTTATGCTGTAACGACTACCTCCTCCCCGATAATGTATTAAAACAAATAGGTACCAAAAAAATATATAAAATATATAACAATGAGACTGATGAAACAATAGATGATATAATTGAATATATTGGTACCTACTATCTAAACCCTTCTACAGTTTATCCTAAAATGTGCCCGTCAAACTTTGTATATAGAAAAATAGACTTATTCTGATCTGCACCTATATACATGACGTTAGCAAAGTTTGGCCAGCTACTTTTGGGACATCCTGTATAACTATATTTTTTTCTTATTTCCATGTTAAAAGAAAATGTTTTAACATGGAAAAACTTTAAAGTTTAAAGCCTTATATTACAAATTATTAAAAGTATT